TTTTAGTTTATATACATTTATTTCTAATGCATTATATGCGAGCAGATTGTGTTATCGGATATATGAAAGTATGGAATTTCTAAAAGCTAATAGGTGTTTAGTGATATCCTCCGCCGTTCTGTGGGAAGGTGATGGCAGGACCGAAGACTTGAGGATGCTGAGCCTTGCCGGAGTAGCTGACCTTGGCCACGAATCCTCTACCGTGATCAGCTGTGTAGTCGACCTGTTTAGGGAGAGGAATGGTTGTCAGGTTATTGCAGTATCAGTGGATTTGCAGTGGTATTAGAATTTTGTTCTACCTTTTAAAAATATTTTAATTATATATTTTTTGTCTATCCCTTAATCTGTTTAAAACCAGACGATATGTCACGAATTTGAACACTTGAACACTATACTTACGTGTTGCTTGCGGCCGTCGGGAAGGGCGACGGTGTAGGATCCCCACACGTTGCTGCCGTCGGAGTTCTCGTTCTGACCGAAGTTGGTTCCCGAGTAGGCGTCGTTCACGGCGTAGTTGAAATTGTAGGGGATGGGGCCCTGAAAGCAGTCGCAGCGATAATGGTGAAGCTCTTTCGGTTATTGCGAAATTTGAGTTTGTTACATATCTTTTACTATATCTGCTTTTCCTGTTATCGTCATTTTGAGCAGTATTTTGTAAACATTTGACTAACTTACAGAGGCATAAACAGCTCCTCCTCCTCCTCCTCCTCCTCCTCCGCCATAGTTGCTTGGATGGGCCTGTGACACGGCCAGGGCCACCAGAACTGCAATTGCCTGTAATAAGATACCATTTTCCGTCAAGACTTCATAGTAGGATATGAATGAATTGAATTTCATAGAAATTCCACAATCACTTATTTGTTTTGATGAATTTGAAGAAAAATCAACATTGTAACAGCTGATGTTATAGAATATCCGGACGCAGTTTTTTTTTTTTATGAATTCGTATTTTCCTCAGCGCTTTAGATGCACGTTCACTCCTAGCACGCATGATATAACACTTTACACTTAGAAACCGAGAACTAACTTGGTAGATCATCCTGGAAGACGAGATCAGCTGATTTTGTGGCGATGGCTGGTGTTGGAGTGAAGACCGTTTGTCCCGACGCTCTTTTATACTTGAGAGATTCGCGGCCTTGGATGATGATTGGGCAAGAAGGTTTGATTTTGTTGCAGTTCGAAGCCACTTTCAACCCCCCCCCCCCCCCCCCCCCTCCGCCGAAGTGACATTCTCTCGTGATCACGACGGTGTTGTCAATTAGATTTTGTCAATCAGGTCGTTTTGCCAAATCATTTTGCAAGATGGATAATAATTGAATAGATGTAGTAATATATATATATATATATATATAATATATATATATATTATTTTATATTTATTTTTATTTTTTATTTTAAAAATCTCTCTCTCTCTCTCTCTCTCTCTCTCTCTCTCTCTCTCTCTCTCTCTCTCTTATATATATATATATATATATATATATATATATATATATATATATATATATATACATATATATACATATATACATATATACATATTTATACATATATATACACACACACACACACACACACACACACACACACACACACACACACACACACACACACACACACACACACACACACACACACACACACACACACACAGTTCACTGGCTCTCTCGCTCTTTCTCTCAAAGGAGTAGTTATTTGGTTTGTGAATTTCGAATATTTATTCTACGGCAGTTTAAGGGTGTTACCACTAAGAGATCCTTTCACGGAAAATACAGTGACTAACATATACTGTATGTGTGTGTGTGTGTGTGTGTGTGCGTGCACATACACATTCACTCACGCTCACTCACTCACTCACTCTCACCCAACGCTATTGGAATAAAGCAATGACATTATAACTTTATAACAGTCATATGAGACGAAGATAGTGCAATGTAGTATTAGGATTGTACGATTACATTGTCCAGGTTTCTGACATTTTTATTTCCTCATGTCACATGTAGGAAGTAAAAGATAATGTCTATCTCTTTATAAATTGGGTTTAATATTCTTAAAGAAACTCATTCAGCGTATTACATTTCTAAGTAGATATGGTAACCATCGTTTATCTACTGTTCACTACAAGTTCTTGGAAACCTGTTTTATCTGTAGCTTACGGGGTTTCATTAACCGATAAGTGTCGGAAGAGAACTGTGTAATTGATATTAGTGTCCAATTCCATCAGTTTTGAGTTCAAACTTTATGAGCTGTAGGGAATGTATATTTTGATTAAGTAATATGGCATCCTTTTAATTTCTCATAATTTATTGTTTATTGGAAAATTTATGCCGCGTCAACGTCTGGTCCTTAGCGGCGTTTACAAACTATAGCTATAGGGCGAGACCTAGGGGCGAAACCCCCAGGGAAGGAAAGGACATACAGCTTTATGACAAATTATTGTGGCAAAAAGATTAAAGTGAGTTAACATTTTGGACAAAATATGTAAATGTCAAAGGTTTGAGCGCTGTAGGTTAGTATGGTAGTAAAAGAAAGGGAATAGCAAACGGAGTACGAAGACACAAAGCCAGCCTTTCATCCTTTCAGCATGGGTCTCACACTTTAGGATGTGGACAGAAGGGGATGAAGAAGAGAAGGAAAATGGGGGGAAGTAAACGACATCTGGCTTGGGATTCAGGGGGCTTCTCATGAAAAGTTTCGAATATTACATTTGAGAATATATTCCTTTCATGTTTCCTTTGTTTTCTCTTAGTTAAATAAGAATACACAGCAACGCATGTGCAAAACAAAACATATTTTTAGAAAAAAAAAAATCTTTTTTGGTTTTGAAACGTTACGATTCATTATTCATTTTCTAGAGATGATTGGGTAAAACGATAAATGATTTTTTTTTTTAGTTTATATACATTTATTTCTAAAGCATTATATGGGAGCAGATTGTGTTATCGGATATATGAAAGTATGGAACTTCTAAAAGCTAATAGGTGATTAGTGATATCCTCCGCCATTCTGTGGGAAGGTGATGGCAGGACCGAAGACTTGAGGATGCTGAGCCTTGCCGGAGTAGCTGACCTTGGCCACGAATCCTCTACCGTGGTCAGCTGTGTAGTCGACCTGTTTAGGGAGAGGAATGATTGTCAGGTTATTGCAGTATCTGGATTTGCAATGGTATTAGATTTTTTTTCTACCTTTTAAAAATAATTTTAATTATATTTTTTGTCTATCCCTTAATCTGTTTAAAACCAGACGATATGTCACGAATTTGAACACTTGAACACTATACTTACGTGTTGCTTGCGGCCGTCGGGAAGGGCGACGGTGTAGGATCCCCACACGTTGCTGCCGTCGGAGTTCTCGTTCTGACCGAAGTTGGTTCCCGAGTAGGCGTCGTTCACGGCGCGTAGTTGAAATTGTAGGGGATGGGGCCCTGAAAGCAGTCGCAGCGCGTTAGTTTTTCGGTTGTTACGACTTATTTAGTCATCTTTTTTATAACTGCTTTTCCTGTTATCGTCATTTTGAGTAGTATTTTTGAAACATTCGACTTTAGCTTACAGAAGCATAAACAGCTCCTCCTCCTCCTCCTCCTCCTCCGCCATAGTTGCTTGGATGGGCCTGTGACACGGCCAGGCCACCAGAACTGCAATTGCCTGTAATAAGATAACATTTTCCGTCAAGACTTCATTGCAGGATATGAATATTTTATTTCTATTCCAAAATCTGTCACTCTTTTGATTTGATGAATTTGAAGAAAAAATTTAACTGATGGTACAGTATTTCCTGCCACATAAATTTATTATTTTTTAATGAATTCGTAATTTCCACCGCGCTTTAGATTCAGATTCACTCCTAGCACACATTATATAACACTTTACACTTAGAAACCGAGAACTAACTTGGTAGATCATCCTGGAAGACGAGATCAGCTGATTTTGTGGCGATGGCTGGTGTTGGAGTGAAGACCGTTTGTCCCGACGCTCTTTTATACTTGAGAGATTCGCAGCCTTGGATGATGATTGGGCAAGAAGGTTTGATTTTGTTGCAGTTCGAAGCCACTTTCAACCCCCCCCCCCCCTCCGCCGAAGTGACATTCTCTCGTGATTCGCGACGGTGTTTGTCATTAGTGATGTTTGTCAATTAGTGCTCAGCACTCATCGTTTTGCCAAATCAATTTTGCAAGATGGATAAATAATTGAATAGATGTAGGTATATATACATTTTAATTTAAATTTTTATTTAAAAAATAAAATCTCTCTCTCTCTCTCTCTCTCTCTCTCTCTCTCTCTCTCTCTCTCTCTCTCTCTCTCTCTCTCTCTCTCTCTCTCTCTCTCTCTCTCTCTCTATATATATATATATATATATATATATTACATACATACATACATACACACATATATCCATATATATACATACATACACACATATATACATATATATATATATATAATATATATATACACACACACACACACACACACACACACACACACACACACACACACACACACACACACACATACACATATATATACATACATACATACACACACACACACACACACACACACACACACACACACACACACACACACACACACACACACACACAACACACACACACACACACACACACACACACACACACACACACACACATCACACACATATATATATATATATTATATATATATATATATATATATATATATATATATATATAATTCGCTGGCTCTCGCTCTTTCTCTCAAAGGAGTAGTTATTTGGTTTGTGAATTTCGAATATTTGTTCTACGCCAGTTTAAGTGTGTTACCACTAAGAGATCCTTTCACGGAAAATACAGTGACTAACACATATATATATGTGTGTGTGTGCACATTCACATTCACTCACGCTCACTCACTCACTCACTCTCACCCAATGCTATTGGAATAAAGCAATGACATTATAACATTATAACAGTCATATGAGACGAAGATAGTGCAATGCAGTATTAGGATTGTACGATTACACTCTTCAGGTTTCTGATATTTTTATTTTCTCATGTCACACTTAGGAAGTAAAAGATAATGTCTATCTCTTTAAATTGGGTTTAATTTTCTAAAAGAAGCACATCCAGCGTATTGCATTTCCATTTAGATATGGTGACACCATCGTTTATCTACTGTTTACTACATTCTTGGAAACCTGTATTATCTGTTGCTTACGGGGTTTTCATTAGCCGATAACTGTCGGAAGAGAACTGTAATTGATATTAGTTTCCAATTCCATCATTTTTGAGTTGAAACTTTTTGAGATGTAATGTATATTTTTGATTAAGTAATATGGCATCCTTTTAATTTCTCATAATTTATTATTTATTGGAAAATTTGTGCCGCGTCAACATCTGAAGTTATTAGCGGTGTTTACAAAATATGGCTATAGGGCGAGACCTGGGGGCGAAACCACCAGGGAAGGAAAGAACACAGCTTTATGACAAATTATTGTGGCATAAAGTTTAAGATGAGTTAACATTTAGGACAAAATATGTTAAATGTTCAAGGTTGTTGAGCGTTGCAGGTTAGTATGGTAGTGAAAAGGGTAAAGAGGGAATAGCACGGAGTTACGGGACGTTCCAGGGGGACTGACACAAAGAATGGCCCAAGCCTTTTTCATCCTTTTCAGCATTAGGCCTCACACACTTTAAGGACTGGACAAAGGGCAGAGAAAGGGAGATGAAGAAGGGAAGGAATAAAGGGGTAAGTAAGACATTAAAGTATAAGAGGTCGGGAGATACAACAAGTTGTCAATGTTTTGAGGGTAACG